TACCCCAAGTAGTCGATGGTGTACATAAAACAACTGAGGCTGACAGTACAACGTGTGTGCTTTCGCTTTACACAGCAAGAGTAGTTTCGACCTAGAATATAGAAGACTGCAGTGAAAGTGGCTGAATTTCATTTGCCTTGGTCTCAGGATAAACCATGAAACCCGTTAGCATGCTGACAAAGTTCACTGGCTTGGATGGGCTCACGGCCACCTTCTCACTGATTCCTGCCTTTGTCCACAGTGTGAAAGGCTATTCCGCACCATCTGTGAAGGATGCCGGGACATCAGATTGCCTGTATCTTACTGGGGAAATTTCTGTGCTCTCTACTGAGTACAGTACGTCCTTTATTCAATCAAAACACAAACCCTGACCTGTGAAAATGATGAAGTTCTTGAAAATCATGCCATCTTCTAAGTTTACCGTTTTTAAAATTATTATCAAAAGGGTAGGCAAAAATTGTCTCTTAGGCACCCATGATATTCTAAGAATCAAGTGTCTTCCTCCTCTTGGATAACTCTGATTTTCCTTTCCTGAGACCAGATCTTGCATACAGAAACAGAAAAATGAAACTTTTCACCTTCAAACATTCTTAGAAACCTCCTAGAGATCCCCAGGAAATTCACACCGAGCTGTTGCTTCCCCTTAGGAAACAGGAGAAAGAGAGGTGCTGGAAGGAGTTATGTTTGTCGTCCCTTCGTTGGGGTTTCACGGGAGATGGTGTCACATCTGAAGAGATCCTCAGCCTCCCTTCGGTTGAGTTTGTATTGGTAAAACATGGTGATAAAAATATGTCAGACCTCACCTGCTGTACAAAAAGACCCTGAAGGACTGCTGGCGCCTCTGCTGTCTCTAAGCTGTTTTACCCTTCGGGGAGCAATGATCAAAACTCATGAAACAGTTATTTCCCACTGGAGATTTTAGTCTCCTGTCTTTTTTTCTTATTGCTTTGCTGTCATAAACTAACCCTCATGCCATCTGTAGCTGGTGCTGTGCGTCTGCGAGCTCCAGGCCAGGGGCAGTGTCTTCAGGGAAAAAGGGCGGCCTAGGCCCCCCACAAGGGGCTTCAGATCACACAGATGATGAGCTCAGGGAAAGCTTCTGAAAGTAGACTATGGACCAACAGTCAGCGAGCGGGAAGTGATCACACAAGACTGCATGAGCCCACTTGATCGTGGCTATATTCTGAAGTCCTGTTCAGGTCAGTTTAGGGTTCTTTCACTTGCAGATCTGGGAGTAGAGCCCTTTTTCTTCCTTCTTAACCTACAACTTTAATAGACTTTGCTTTAGGTCAACTGAAAGAAACATTTTCAATAATATCTGATTCTCACTGGCCTCCCACTGTCCAGAAGCTCACTTAGCCTCCTCAGCTTTTCTTGGAAATACAATTGCTTTTATTGGTTCAGTAAGAACCCAGCCCCTTCTCTGGTGCAGAATTGTACTGTGCCATAATGTCGCGCTCCGGGCTGGCAAGTCGGGAATTATTCTAGTAACAGGGAAAATAAGTCACTTTATGTCTGGAGTCAATACCACAAAGCCCTGCAGGGACAACACGCTGGGCCCCTGACTTTTTGAGTTGATTCCCACAGGCCAAGAGTATGGGGAACTCTGGGAAGCAAGGAAATGTCTCAAAATAAGAAAAGTTTAAAAGCACTAGGGATGTAGCTCAGTGCTAACTGGGTTCAGTCCCCAACACTACAAAAAAATAAAAGAATTCAAAAAGTAGAAATTGCCCTGCACCATTTGCTCCTTCACACAAGCTTGAGTCAAGCATTACCACACTTACAGAAAATGAGGCCACGGGCCAAGGCAAAACTACACCGTGGAAGCAAGGTGTCTCCCACCGGAGTCCAGCTCTCCATTCCCAACGCCTGCCTCGAGGGGCCCAGACACCACCAAGAATCCGCCTGTCACTGGCCCTGAGCCCTTGGACTTTGGGCATTATCTCCCTCGCTCCATGTAAAATGGGTCCTTGTCTCTTCCTCCTTATTGTGAAGCTTTCAGTTCCTGCCGTACTAAGGCCTACAAGCTTGGCTGAGCTGGGGCCGGCGGAGGTGTCTCCTCCCTCAGCCCCACCAAGCCCTCTCTCTTCTCTACTGCGGGGCCCTCTCTGGTCTGTGTCAGCTCCAACATGGAGCTGGGCCCTTCCCGTGACTCCTCAGTACCACAGGGACACACGCCAGGCTGGCGGCGAAAAACAGGATTTTTCCCACCCGACACAGAAGTAGAATCAACTTCAAACTGGGCACCCGTCGTCAGTGCCCTACACACTTACAGCTCTGCGGCCAGCATACGCGTCCCGGGTCCAGTCGGGTCCTTCCTTCTCCCGGCAGGCAGGGCCCACTGCCCCTCGTCCAGGCCCACCCCTGCAGATGCTGTTCCTCATTCTCCCACCCTCCCGCTAGCGTGCCCGGGCGTCCCTACACTCATCTCCTGTCCAGCCCCAGCGCAGGGCAGTCGTGCAAGCAGCTTGCCCCTGGATCCTCACCCAGGCCACGGTTGGCGGGACCCTCGTCCAGAACCAAACTCGCTCCTTAAGGTCTCTCTCTCTCTCTCTCTCTCTCTATCTCTCTCTCTCAACAAGTGATACTTTCTTTCCATTAGAATATGGAAATAGTTCATTCTAGTTCAATCTACCCCCCGATGCTAAATGGTAGGCAACTTTAAGTAGAAATGATTTTCTTTGTATGGCCTGAAAATCAAATTCCCTGACTGAAGACCGTTTCTCAGCACGGAAGGCATTCAAACAACCTTCCAGCACAGGTTCAAGATGTTTCCCAAATAGGAAATTCTAGCATGTGCTGAGCAGCTGCAGGCATTCTTGTTAGAATAAAGACACACGCACTCACGTGCATTTGCGTGCCACGTTATTTCAAAACATTCATGTTCATGAGGACAGATGCCTGTTGTCGGTTCAAAATATTATGGACACACATAATCCTTATGGTAGGATCTCACGGTCTCTCATAAAATTGTGAGCAACACAGAAAGATTAGCAGATTGCAGGGAGGGAGACAAAGTGGAATCAAAACTGGAGAACGCTAACATCCCGAAAGAGTCTGTGAGAACGCATCTGTGCTGGTGCCCCCCAACTCCACTGGCAGGGGTTAGCAATTTTATTACAAATACCCTGTCATCCAAATCCCTGATTAAAGATGGGGAAGCCGGGTTTGAGGGCTTTCAACAGGCTGCTGGAGGTCACAGGGTGGATACAGGGGAGTAGAGACTCACTCTCCGGTTACCTCCTCTATCGGCCCTGGGCCGGGGCTGGGTGATAGCTGAGCCCACAGCCAGACAGGGGCTGCGAGGGACACCTGCCCTGGCCAGCTCAGCAGATTCACTACAGTCCCCCAGGAAAACTGAAAATGTTGTCGGGTGGGGCAGGGGAAGGGGGCTGTGGCTCATTTTTTCCAGTGTGTAGCCAACTGCCCTGTGGCTTCTACACTGACCAGTGGGCAGTACACCCAGTCACTGAGCCACCCCTGAGCTGGGGCTGTCCTGGGTCCAGGGGGCTGCACAGGAGTCAGTATGAGGTGGATGGCAGGGCAGCTCCACCCTTGTACCTGCGGTGAGGCAAGCAGCACGATAAAAGGGGGAGAGATCGGGCTCATAGCCACCCCTCTTACCAGGCCCTCAGCCCTACAGAGCCGGGCCAGCTGGGAGAAAGGGTGAGTCCCTGAGGGCGCTCAGCCACAGCATGGCAGAGAAGTCACACGGGAAGGGGGCTCGTGCCTCATCTCCACTGCGGAAGGCCCTTCCGGACAGGGACTGGGAGAAAACAGACCGTGCAGGGACTGGTTTGGAGATCTAGGCTTGTGTGGAAAGGCAGGCTACTGAAGGTACAAACAGGCAATGGGGAAGTGTCAGGAAAGTCTCCCTGGCTGTCACGTTCTGCTCCAGCAGTGGGCTTGTGAGAGACCCAAGGGGCGCTGGACGCACTATGGAGGAAACGGATAGAGAGCTGAAGGGGTGTGGTTCTGCAGGACCCTTTAGGAGGCCAAATCTGAAGACCTAGGGACAGATGTGGGAGCAACTAGGAAGACTTCAAGTAAAAGCCAGAAGCATGGCCCCCCGCTTGGACTAGACACACCACCATTCCTGTGTGCTCAAGGTGCCACCCTGAGTGGCTCTGTCCTCCTGTGTGACCTCAGGGTCACAAGATGGCTGCTGCTCCTCCAGCCCTCATGCCAGGAAGGAGGTGAGAGCCACACTCGGGCGCTGGTGTTTATCAGTGTGCCCTCCCTCATCTCACCGGCTGGGACTGTGTCACAAAGGTACCCAGGGCTTCAAGGAAGCTGGGTAGTGAGCGGGGCTGGTGGAGCACACCGGTCCCTACACAGAGGGCCGCTGGGAGGAGACGGGGATGCAAGCTGGCTGCGCACCTGCAATGTCCACCCCAAGGGGAAGGCACAGGGAAGGTCTGGGGATGCCTGGCTCAACCAACCCCCCTCAGAGGCACCGGAAGCTTGAGGTGCACACGGACAAGAGGGAGGACACTGTCCTGGGCCGTGGATTTGGGGTCAGCTCTCCTGCTCTCGCGGTCACTACAGAGATACACTCCTCCTACCTGCACGTCTAGGCCTGTTCCTGAGCCCAGCAGCACAACTTCCAGGAACCTGAAAATACCAGGCCACAGCTGTGTCACTGGCCACTACAAGCAGCCCAAAAGGGGGCCACAAGGAGGGACAAAGCCAGGAGGCTACACTCACGCATGATCCAGCCGCCCTGGCCCCAGCGGACTCAGGCCTCTGGGAAGCCTGGGGCCAGAACTTAAGACCCTCCCCGACTCCCTAACCAGGCCCCAACCTCCTTGGGCATCAAGGTTCTCATCTGCGGAGCGGAGTCCCAGTGCCTGACCCCAGTTCCCAGTCGCTCAGGGCAGGCTCAGGCACACCAGCGGAGCTCCAGGCGCGCCCCATCACAGGCCCCACACAGCTGGCATGGGAGCCGGCAGCTCAGCGCCATGGCCTCAGACAGTACGGAGGAGACAAATCAGACACATTCACATCTCTCCGAATGTTTTTGCCAGATGTTTTGTTTCGTTTTGTTTCGAACACTAAGGTTTATTTTCAATCAGCACACGGATGGTCTGCGGGGCGGGGCCAGGCTGGGCTGGTGACTGGGCCCCACCCACAGCAGCTGCCAGGACCATTGCCCAGGCCGGCGGTGGCCGAGCTTCAGGCAAGCACAGCGGTGGCTCGGTGCTCCCAGCCCGCCCTGCGGCCAGGCACACATGCGGGTGGGCAGGGACGCCGCGAACTCAACTAGGGGACACACAGCTTCAGGAGCACTGGTGAACTCCACCGGACTGGCTGGGGCCGGGCTCTTTGGAAAACAACCTAATTGAGAGGACACCTGTCGGCTCAGGTCTCTGCTCTCTCAATTTCCCTTTGCTTTTTAAAAGTTTTAAAAACAAACAAACAAAACAGAAAAAAGGAGAAAAAAAAACAGAAAAGAAACACACATTTTTCAGGAAAAGATGTTCTTCAAGTGCCCGCCCAGAGGGCTGCAGGGGCTCTGCCATCACTGCACGCGTTCCGTGAAGTTCTCAGGGAAGACGCCCCGGCATTTCTCCAGCTCCTTGTGCTGGTTCCAGTCGCTCTCCTTCACCCCCATGAGCCAGCCTTCATCCTGCAGCAGGGAGGACCCAGGTCACTCCGGGACCAGGGTGGAGGGATCCTCTGGCAAGACGACCCCGCCTGCTGCTGTTCCTCTCTCCTCCTCGGGCGGTGTTCCCTGAGACCCAGAGACACCACCTCCGCCCAGCAGTACCAGCCGGCCCTCTGCCCAGCTGGAGGAACCTGACCTCTTTCTGGGAAGCAGTCTGACCATGTCTGAGCGACTCCCTCACTCCCAGGCCCACAGAGGATAGGGCCCAGGGGAGGACATCAGCTGTCTTTCCAGGTCTCATACTTCTAGAAGCAATGTCAGAGTGCTCTGAAGGCACTGGCCAATGAAGAGCTTCCAGGGCAGGGATGGCGAACCTTTTAGAGCTTTCAACGCCCAAACAGCCCACTTTGTCACGAAAGCCACAGGTTTGCACGCTGCTCTAGCAGGTCCCAAGCACTGCACACCAGTCCAACATGCCCTCTGCTTCTCCCTGGCCTTACCCTGGAGGGCAGCAGCCCCACACCTGCCCGGGACTGGCCATCACTACTGTAAACCAGACTGCACCTGGAGTTTCCTGGGTCTGGGTGGCTTCGCTCTGGGAAGGGTGAATGGATGCAGGTCCCAGACCAGAAATTCTATGGCCCAGGCCTCCCACTCGCGGTGCCAAGTCCCAGCCCAGGATCCCCACCTAGGGCAGCCTCACTACAGCCATGCTGACAATTCGGTCATGCGGACAGGAGGGTGACAACGGCCTTCAGGGAGCAGGAGGCTGGCCAGGGTTCAGTGCAGACTCTGCAGTACTCAGGGGCTGAACCAAACACAAAGCCCAGGTGTCCAGTGGGCTCCACCCCAACCCACAAAGGCCATTTTGCACCAATACTGAGGTGTGGGCCACCTGGGAACAGCAGCTGCCCAACGGATGGATGGACAGAATTAGGACCAGACCAGGTTCAGCTACGGTACCTCCCTTATTTACTTACTTTTTCTAGTACTGATTGAACCCAGGGCCTTCACACTGAGCTATTTCCCCCTACCCCCAGTACTTCCTCACTTTTTATTTTCAGATAAGGTCTCACTAAATTGCCCAGGCTGAGTTGAAATTTATGATCCTCCTGCCTCAGCCTCCCAGAGGGCTGAGATTACAGGCGTGTGCCACCACACCCAGATCTGGGCCTCCCTTTGAGAGTAACTAACATGGAGAAACCATTGCACAGAGGGTCTGGAAGGCATCCGGGCTGAGACTCGGCTCGGGACACAGATGGGAAGCTGGGGACCCTGTATATGCAGCAGGCGAGGTACAGGGCCCGTGGGAACCCCAGAGGGTCCAGCAGTCCCAGCCCCGATGAGCACAGGAGGGCGGCCTGTGCTGCCCCCTGCCGGCCGGCAGAGCCCACCGCAGTAGCAGTGGAGGAGCATCCCCCAGCGCACCTGCTCCTCAGGGTTCTGGAAGGGGATCACCAGCACCACGTCGCCAGCCTTGAGCTGCAGCTCGTCAGTGTCGGTGGCCGCATAGTCGTGCTGGGCCTGCACCTACAAAGGAGGGGCAAGGCGTCAGGACCCTGGGTCCCCGGCCCAGCCCTGCGGAGCCGCGTCTGTGAAAGACAATGACTCATCCTGGGACCCACCTTGAACATGAAGCCCGGAGGCAGGTCCAGGCGCCCGGCCCCGCTGCTGCCCTCCACGGTGCCATTCACAGTCGCCGAGAAGGTCTCCACCACCACGGCCGGGAGAGAGCTCTGGGGACAGGCGACAGGTCAGGTGTGCAGGGCCCCGAGGGCTGGGCCACCGCCACCGGAGGGAAGGGTGTCTGCCTGGGGCCCGGGAACTGCCCCAGAATCCACAGAATGTGGCAAGGCACACAAGGGAGCTGCAGGCATAGGGACCAGACAGGCAGGCAAGACAGAAAGCGGGGAACAAGGACAGGGCTTTGGTCCCTGCCGTCTTACAGAGGCTGCTTCCGCTGGCTCCCCAGGCTCCTGGGCTCCACCAGCAGGTTGGGTCCCACCCGCCACCTCCGAGGCTTCTGCTGGCTGCAACATAAACGCCAGCAAGGAGTCAGACACAGGACGGATGCTATGAAGGGGACAGGGCTGTGGGCTATGGGAGGCGCAGGCCATGGCGGGCCGGGGCTAGCACTGGAGGCTGGACAGAAGGTGGGGGCAGGCCAGGAACGCCAGGTGAAGTGCACACAGAAATCCGGCAGAGCCCTGGGATGCTGCTCCCACCCTGCCTTACAGGCCCTGCCCTCTACGCCCAGGACTTCTCCAAGCCTAGCCTCCTCCTGCCCAGCTGGCCGGCCCCTCACAGGTGGGCAAGGGCCTACAGTACAGCACTGCCCTGGACGTTGCCTTCTCCCCTGAGGACGCTGCATGGTGGGCAGGGCTGCCCCTCAGCCACTTCTTAGCACTGGGACCAAGGTGCCCAACCTTTCTAGCCTCCACTTCTTTGTCTGTGAAAGGAGGAAGTACCTGGCCGACAAAGTTAAGAAGATTAAGTGCACAGAAGCGCCCAGCATAAGCTGGTAAATACTCTAAAATGCGGCCCCCACACACCCTCAGGGGGTCAGGTGGGTAGGTACCAGCTGTGGTTGGGACTCAACGCACCCTAGTGGTCCCTATCGTCAAAGCCCGCCTTACCCACTCTGCGTCCCGTCCACTGGGCTCTGTGTTCACGCTACACCCGAGACGGGACAAGCCAGGTTGGGGAGGGACACTTACTTGGGCAGACCCCGGCTCGGCCGTCTGGCTGGGCCAGGACACAGCAAAGGTGCCCTCAGCAGCACTGCGCTCCCTGGAAGGCAGGCTGCCAGCTGGACTCTCTGTGGGCTGGGGCAGGCCACCAGGAGAGGACACGGAAGGGCGTGGGGCCGGGGGGGTGTCGGGCAGGGGCGTGAGACAAGAGAAGACGTCATGAGCGACCAGCACCGATACGTAAGAGGGGGTGCCTGAGGCCGGAGCTTAGGGGTGGGGTCTCCCCTCCCAACTCCCTGCCACCGCCAAGGGGAACTGCGGTGCGGCAGCCACGCAGAGCACCGCCAGTGCCTCCTCGTGAGACACTGCCAGCTCACACCAGGCGTGCCTTCGCCAGGTCCTTCCGAGTGAAACGCCCAGGGAAAGCTCCTGAGCAGCGTGTTCTGAGGACAACTGCACTCCACACCCACCTATCTGTGCCCTGCGCTGCCAACTCCTTGCCTACATTGGGAGGTCTCAGGACTGCATCCAGGAGGCCCTTTGGAATTCTGGCTCTCCCAGTGCCAGTTGCGGGCACCTCTCAAGCCCTCCCTGCACTCGCACTGTCCCAAGCTAACCGGAGGTGACGTGTGCCCTGACAGAGCTGGCCTCGGATTAGGCCACAGGCCCTGCTCGCAGAAGACACCTGTTCACCTGCTGTCCCTCCCTGCCCCGCCAAAGCCCTTCCCGGCACGGCCCTGTGTTCTGGCTGAGGCCCTCCTGCCTCGAAGGCCTCAACCAACCACAAGGACCCTCAGGGCAACCGCCTGGCTGCTGGGCTACGGGCAGACACTTGCAGGCCATGACAACTGAGACACATCACAGCGGACCCTTGCTTCATTCAACCAAGGAACCTCCTTCCCACAGGCCTGCCAGGGAAGAGCAGTGCATCAGCGGGAGAGGAGATCCCAGTGAGCTCGCTGCGCCCGAGTGTGCTGTGTGCATGCACCTGTGCCCAGGCCGGGTGGAGGGGGGACAGCGGGCCTGGGCACACGTGGAGGGACGGCACCCCAGGGCCAGGCTCGGAGCGAACTCGGCTTACCTCCCAGAGGTCCCACGGAATGGACTAAGCGCAGCAATGAGGGAAAAGGACAGAGTTAGCACAGAGGTTAGAGGTGGCAGGTGGTCCATCTCCGGGACCCCCGCCCCCACCCCAGTTCTCAAGCCCAGCAAGCACAGGTGCACAGAAGTCTGCAGACAGCAGTCCTGGACCCCTCACAGAGGCGACCAGGTCCTGAGCCCGGGAGTGGCTCCCAGGAAAGTCAGGCTGCTGAGATGCCCGAGAAATCACAGGAAGTACGCAGCTAACCCTCTCTGAAGGGCTGGCCCAGGGGCCCTGTGTGCCCTCTGCCCAACATCACAGCAAGCAGGGCTGAGGACCACAACGCCAGGTGCAGGGCAATGAGGGGATGAGGGCCTGGCGATCCTGCAGTTCCCACACACTTGGGCCCATGTGACCCACATAGCAGTGGGCAAAGAGAAGCCCGGGGCCCAGCCCTGGAGGCTGGTGGGCCTGTGGGCAGCGGTGGGCACAACCAACCTGACCAGAGGGCGTGAGTGCCTTCACGGGGCTCGCCACAGGAGGGATGGGGTCGAAGTCCAGGTCCAGCAGACTGGCCTGCTCCGAGAAAGGCCCCGGGGCCTCAAACTTGGCGGCAGCAGCAGCAGAGGAGGAAGGCAGTTAGTGACAGGGCGAGAACCCTGGCCCCTGGCACACACAGCAGGAGCAGGAGCAAGCGAGCACGCACTCACACGTGCACGTGCACTGCAGCAGTGCCCATGACCACGTGCACTGACACAGAGACACCTGGTGCCACCTCAGACACTAGCAACAGGCTGCTGTGCGGCCACCATCCTGCAAGACCAGGCCCAGCTCCCCCATCCCTCTCTGTGGGCTGGGGCCTCCAGGTGCAGCACCTCTGCTCACTGCCTCACAAGCCCCTGACCTGGTCCTGCATGGCTAAGACAGACAGAATGACCTCAGCATGCCCTACCAAGAGCCCTGAGGTCGGGGGGCTAGGCCTTCCTAGGGCACCCAGTCAAGGCACCCTCTAGCTCCCCAACCAGCCAGCTCCGGGGACAAGGAAGGCACTGCACCAGCACACACAGCCTAAAAGACTGATCTTTGAAGTGGGGTCCACATTGTTACGGACCGTCAGAGCCTCCTGGGGCTCCCCACAGCCACCCCCAGATTTCCTCCTGGTGGGTCTGGTGGAGCCGGCACATGCACAGTGCAAGCCCCGTATGAACAGCCCCACGTGACAAGGCCTGCTGTACCCTGAGCTGGACCATCTTCTGAGAGCCCCAGAGGAGGCTTCGGACTGACCGGGATAAGCCCGAGAAGCCGGCTGAGAAGGCGGTCAAGGGGTAAGGTGCCTGTGAAGCGGGGCTCGCTGTGTGTGGTCTGGGACTGGTCTGCGGGCTTCCTCTTCCAGGCCCAGGAGGGAACGTGACTCCAGCACCTTCCCTCAGCTACCCTCACGGCCCGGCCAGCCAGCTTCCTGGCTCCTTACTGACGGCGCCCCAGGCCCTGCCCACCCCACAGCCGCTGTCTCTGTCCCAAGACCTAGAGTTACAAGCAGGGCCACTGCAGTCCTGAGGCTACTCGGGGATGTCTGTCTCACAGCACTGGCCCTCCAAAAGGGCCACACACAAATGGGTTCACATTTGAGAACACCAGGACAGCCAGGCCCAGCCCTTCCTGAAGAGCCTGGGCTAAGGAATCACTACCCCACCTCGGCCATCAAGGGGCACGCATGCCTTGCACCAGGTGCCTCCATCGCAGGAAGCCAGCTCCTCAGCACCCCACACACTCTTCAGAAGCCAGCCAAGCACAGCCAGCACAGCCAGTGCTCCCAGAGGAGGGCCACCAGCCAGTGCTGGCCACCTCCTCTGCCTGTCCTGGCACACAGCCCCCACACCATGCAGACGCGGACTGGAGACTCACCACCTCCCGGCAGAGCACCCCAGGGCGAGGCCACCCCTGCCACACTTGGAGCCACCCAAGGCAGATGGCTGTCCCACCCACACTGGGCCAGTGGCTCCAGCTGTCCAGGCAGAGGCATGAGGAGGAGCAAGGGAGGCGTGAGGTGACACGGGACAGGTGCATGTGGGATTGGGTACAGACCCTCTGGCCCTTCCCTGTCCTGCCCTGATTTCACACAGGGCCACTAGGTAGCCTGTGAGTCCGGCTGTGAATCCCTCCCATTAAATGGACAGTACCCCTCCCAGGTGTTTGAAAACCAGACAAGGTGGTGCAGGCACGTGGTGGGCACCCTTCTCAGTTTTTGATGTCTCTCATGCCACCCCATCTTCCTGCTCTAAAGATACACTGGCCAGCCTGGCCAGGCTCCCCTGGGGTACAGGGATGCTCGGGCAGGGGAGAGGCAGCAGGCTGCCCTGGTGGTCCACACCCCTAACCTCCCACTGCTACTCCTACATCCCCCTGTGCCACCTTCCCACAGAGAGGCCTGTATACCTGACCGGGCCCTGCCTACCCGCCACCAGCCTGCGTTTAAAGTCCCTTGGTTTTACCCCAAAGTGCTTCGATGCGGCTGGAAGCCCACCCTCCCCAACGTTCCTCCTAGCAGAGACTGCTGCTCTCGGTTCCCAACAGGCCTTCCTCACTCACAGCCTGCAGCCCTGTGGTCTTTGCGCTGCATAGAGGAGCCCAGTCTGCTGGGCACAGCTCCAGACAGGGCCAGCCAGGTCCTCCCGTCCGGACCTGCCGCCTTCACAAAAGCCACAGAAGACCTGCAGGAGGGAGGCCATGAGCCCAAAGAGAAAGCTTCCCATTGCCCTGAGCTGATCTGACAGTGTCCCAGCCACTCCACAATAACCAGAGGCCTCCCATCGGGAGCGGCACCTTTCTGGCTGAGCCCTTTAAGTCCATCTGGGAGTGGACACACATTACACACCCCTTACAAGCAGCAGACCCCAAGACCTGAAGTTTCCATGCTAGGGCTGTCCCGGGGTGTGCACCTGTGCCCCAGCTGCTGCCGCAGCCACCAGCCTGCATCGCTCTGGCCACAAGGAGCCCATCTTCCACACCTCCCAGTCTCCCACTGCTGTCCCTGGCCTAAGAACCCAGGCGAGTGTCACCTTCTTGGTGCTCCTGCTTTAGCCCGAGTCGTGCTGTGAGGTCGTCCCTGGGCTGCCCGCCACTGTGGGGAGGTGAGGGCACCTTGTGCCCCTGTGTCCCCACGTGCAGCCACAGTGCACACTCAGAGAGGTGATGATGATGGGGGGAGGGGGGAGGTGGATGGAGAGAGGCTCACGCCCTTCTCGGAGCCAGCCGCCTGGCCCTGAGACAGGCAGGGTGTGGGACAGAGGTGAGGACCATGCGGGCTCTGCAGAGGAGCAGAGCACTGGGCTGCGGCAGCCGCAGCTGACCTGGGAGGGGGTGGTCACGCTGATCTCGGGGACAAACGCGTCATCAAACAGGCTGAGGATCTGCTCCTGCTTGATCTCCTTGGACGGGGTGTGTTTGGGGGGCGGAGGGACTGGTGGGCCTTTCCGGAGCTGTGGGTCAGCAGGCGGGGGACGTGGGAGGCGAGGCGGAGCATGGGGGTCGGGAGAGACAAAGACAAAGCCACCGTTAGTCACACCCCAGGCCACAGCCCCACCCAGCAAGCAGGAAGACGAGGAAGAAGAGGAAAAGGCAGAGTTGATGCCCCCTGGACACAGACAACGGCCCCAGGAGGGAGGTCAAGGCAGGAGGTCCAGAAAGGCTGCAGAAAAAAAAGCGGAGGAAGAGAGAGAAAGGAAAGGGAGGGAAGGGAGGAGAAAAGCAAGGGAGACCAATCGCTCAGGCACCCAGGAGAGGGTTCACTAGGAGCCAACCGGAAGCTGGGAGACAGCCCAGGGCCGCCTCCCCTGTCCACCTGTGTCCCCTCATGGCCCTGCACCTCCCCGCCAGGGCTGCCCAGGAGGAGCCCACTCAGCCTGTCGGCTTCTGAGGGAGCCAGGTCCTGGGAGGGACCACACCCCTGTCTATCCAGGGGGGCCCTTGGGCAGGTCAGACCCCCAGTGAGCTGGCTTCTCCTCCCTGGCCCCGGCTCAGGGCAGCCGGGTGGATTCAGAGGATGAAAACGCACAAAGCATCCAGCCCTGAGAAAGCGCTGCATGGGAGTGGGCCTTGTCACCACTCTCAATACTACCACCCTAGTCACCCTCTGAGACACAGCCTAAGGCCGGTGGGGCTCACCCGCTTCAGCCCCACAGAGCTGCCAGCTCCTGGGACCCCCTTAGGAACCTGGAGGCCCGGCAAGGGGAGGTGAAATGAAATGGAGCAGTGCAGAGTCCAGGGCCTGTCTCCCCGGGCCCTCACACCGCCTCCCTGAGCCTCCCTCTCTCTGTCCTCTTAATGGTCCTGCATGGCCACCTGGTGAGGGCCCGCAGCCTCCTGCAAGAGACTGAACTTAGGCAGCCGGCCACCTCTGGAGACTCAGTGTCTGTCTAGGTAGGAAAGAAAGGAAGAGAAACAGTCAAGCATCCAAAAGAGAGGGAAAAGTAGAGGGCTTGGGGGTAGGAGGGCAGTCACGGCCCCCTTACGATGGACCGTGGCCACCAAGCATGCTTGGGCCAGGCAGGCCCATGAAGACCAAAGTCCAAACCCAGGCTGCCCATTCCAAAGCTGTCCAGAACAGGGGACAGAGAGAGAAGAGGGATAGGGAGATGACAGCAAAGGAAGAGGAAGAGGGAGCGGCGGATGGGCCACCAGGACACCGTGCCTACCTGGGATGGGGACTTGGGGATGGAGGCCACGGGCGTGGCCCCACCGGCCGGCTCTGCTTCATGGTTCACTCTGATCTCCGGGGTGGCAGCAGGGGAGCCGTCTGGTGAAGGGCTCTTGTTCCCTTTCGCAGGGGCGTTGTCACTGTGGAGCAGGACAGGAAAAGAATCCCAGTGCGGTGAGGCCACGGCTGAAGGTGAGCAGACAGGTTCCAGTGCAGGGCTGTGTACACATGCGGGTGCCCTGAGGACACTCGGCGGCTTACATGTGTACCTGTGTGATGTGAGCCCCACGAATCCATACGTCAAAGTGCAGGTACGTGTGTGTGCCCTGTAGAATCACAGGTGAAAGTGTGTGTCCATGTGTGAACCCCAAAGATCCACATGTGCAACTGTGCCCCAGGATCCACACGTGTGTGTGCATGTGTGTCCTCATGGATCTACATGTCAGGGTGTGTGCGTGTGCGTGTGTGTGTGTGGAGGGAGGGAGTGTGCACAGGTGGGAACGGGGGGACCCAGGCCATGCATCCGTTTCCACACTCAATCACGGCAGGGCCTCCCTGGAGGACTGGCAGCCCCAGCTAGGACTCTCTCCAGGCCAGAGGTCCAGGGTCCCTGTGAGTCACTGCCACCCCACAGGTCTCACTGGGCTCTCCTGGGCCCATGCCAACAGTGCCAGAGACCCAGAGCATGAGCAAGCCAAGCATCCTAGAGGCAAAGTGAATCAACCAATGTCACACAGCAGTCCCCTCCCGGCCCCCCACCCACAGGGCCAGGCCCACGGCCCATTACACAGCACCTCAGTCTCCAGATCTCGTTCCCTGTCTGCACACCTTGGAGGGACATCTGGTGACCCCAGCAGGGCCTGGGTAAACAAAAAGCATGCCCTCCCGGTGGAGGAATGGCAGCTGGGCCGGGGTAGGTACAGTGGGCACAGGGTGTGGTGGCCAAAGATAAAATCTATGAGAAAGTTCTGGAACAGTGCTGCTCAATATGGCAGCCCCTGGCCTTGGTGACTACGTCACTCGTAAAACCCAGCTCCTGGGTCACACTGGCCACACTGCAGGTGTTCAAGAGCCACTAGAAGCGGCCGCTATGGTGGCCAGTGCAGGCCTAGAAAGACGACAGAGCCTGGGACCCAGTGACCTGGTGGGGCTGGGGAGAAGACAGTGAGAGAGACGCGGCTGGAACATCTTCTCTGAACTGTTTTGTGGATGGATTTGCCTTCTTAAGGAATACACGCCGACACAGGATGTAATGAACTCAGGACCTTGTGTTCGAAAGGCAGGCACGGTGCCACTCGGCTAAATCCCCAGCCTGTGTGTAATTACTTTTAAAAACCATCTGCTGCAACGTCCCTTCCAGGGCCCCATCCCTGCCTCCTCCCTCACCCCTTTTCCACGTGCAAGGGTGTGGGAGGCACACACAGCATCGGGCACCACCGAGCCACACCCTGGGCTGCCCCATCGCCTTGCTCCTCCTCCTCTCCCCACACAGCGGGACACAGCCGGGTCCCCCACACAGCACCACACGGGGGCCACAGTTAGGGTTAGTGGCGCCCAGCAGCAGGGCGGCAGGTGCATGCGTGGCTGCGGGGCCATCCCCGCAGGTACCTGTTCTTCTTCCTGCGCAGCCGAGAGAACAGTTTAGTTTTCTTTCTGTGGGGATGGACAGGATGTGGAGGCCTTCATTTGGGGAAACCAGACACAACCTAGGTCCTGTCTCCTCCCGGCCTCTCCAGCACTTCTGCTCAGAGGACGGTGAGGTGCAACGGACCACAAAGGACCCAGGCCTGCCAGGTGCTCGGGTGTGCCGGCCAGGCCTGGGGAGGACAGGCGCCTTGGCCAGGTGCTCGGGTGTGCTGCCCAGGCCTGGGCTAGGAGCTCAGTGGGCCCGGGGCACCAGGGAGGGCTCAGCTGGCCCGTGTGCGGCCCTGGGAGCAGAGGCCACCAAGAGGGGACAGGCTGTCCCACCGGCCACTTTGGTGCCACGCAGGCCCAAGCCTCGCCTCCCTCCCTCTTCGCCCGGCCCTCTCTCAGGGGCTGCTCGGGTCAGAGGCACTCACACCTCTGCACCACCCTGGACCCTCCCCACCTAGCCCGGATCTCTCCAGTGACCTCGGACTCTGCCCTCTCCCGCCACCCCACCACCCCAGGCGCCCTTAGTTTGCCTGCCACTCATTTTGCCGGCAGTTAGAGGGGCCATGACATTCACTACATACCTCCTCAGCCCTAGGCAGCACCCCAGTTACCCCAAGAAGCAGACAGTCACCCGACTCTACAGACACAGAAAGCACAGCTCCTGGTGCTCTGCACTCTGCTGGGACAGGCGCGCGTGTACACACACCCATATACACGCACAGATACCTCTCTCTCTCTCCCTCTCCCCCTACTCTCAATGGGAAATCCCAGACTCTTGGTGTTTCCCCTGGCTTCAGCAAGGAGAACATTTTTCCCCCAGCTCGAGGTTTCCTGCAGAGAAAGGACGCTCCTAGGAAGCCGCCCCAAGGGGCGAGGGTCCAGGCAGAGGACAGAGACCAGGACATGGAGGCGGTAAGCAGCACCACACAGAGCGTGAGGCTCCCCACACGCAGGCACCAGCTTCCTGCTCAAGAGCCTGGAGCTCTCCAGAGGACTGCGCCCCAGGAGCCACGCAGGCCTGTACCCCAGAGCTGAGCTCTGCCTCCCCAGGCCTTTCTCCTGCTCCACAACCTCCCGAGGGACGCTCCCTCCGTGGGACACGGGACCTGCCGTCATCTGTGTCCCTGACGAAGGGAAGCCACGCCAGGAAGGACCCAGAGTCCCAGAGTGGAGCCCACAAGACTAGGAAAGGCACCACAGGGTCGGGCACAGGAAGTCAGCAGGCGCCGGGCCAGACCCGACACCTCGCCCACCACAGCCTCCTCACACACCTGGGCTGGGCCTTGATCGCAAAGGTGTTGGTTCCGTGCTGCTTCTCCAGGCTGACCAGCACGTCGTTGAGGTTCTGATTCAGCTGTGGGAAGGACAGGAGCAGGTGGGGCCTCCAAGACCACCGAACAGCAACTCCTTTCCCAGGAGGCCCTCTGCTGCCCACACTCTAGCCCTGGCCCTCCCGGGGGCAAGCACCCTTGTCCCCACCCAACCACAAAAACCCAGAGGGAAAGAAATGGAAGAAGTGGGCTGCATTAATGACAGGTCTAGTTTCTAGGGACTCTTCTCTTCTTGCCCGTACAGGGACAGCCTAAATTACTACGTAAAACTTTTGCTTCTTTCACAAAAATTGCTTTTATCGACCCACTGTTGATCCTCACTGTCGATCGAGGTCACTTTGCCGACACACTGTCAGACTGCACTCCACTGTCAGATCCCTGCCAGAGCACAAGAGAGGAGTCTACCCCACACATGAACATCATGGCTATCCTCACTCAAAGTGTTTCCCTCTTTGCTTTGACCACAAGGAAGCTCAGAGGTAAGTTTTCCTCCCACCTGTACAGCTGTGCTTTGTGGCATATACTTCCATGGACCAACGTTCAATAAAAGTCCCCTTCCCAAAAATGCCTATTTTCTAAACTGTTTGCAAACTGTCTAAAATCTTTGAAGGGAAGAACAGGAAGAGGAATCCCGCGAACTGAGGGCAATGTGAAGAGAGCTGGCCCATCTATCTGTCTAAGCAAGGAGAACAGGACTGGGCATGGGGAGGGGCCGGGGCTGAGCCCGGGGACCCCGTCACAGTCGCCTCAGAGTACCTGGCAACTCAGAGGGGTGCCCCGGTCACTAGGGTGCCTCACCCCAGCAGGGGCGGGGGAGCTCAGGCCGCCCATCCATGCCTCAGACTGAGCCCGGCCAGCCCGGCATGGAGGGAGTCCCGGGCGTACCTTGCTCATCTCCTTGTGGAAGTTCTCCTCCAAGCCCGCAATGCTCTGAAACGTGTTGACGTAGAAACCAACGCGGCTGCCGGTAAGGAAGGAAGGAGGAGGTGGGCAGGCGGCCCAGGAGAGCCCATGGGGTCAACTTCACGAGGCAGGTGCCCACGTGTGACCACAGGTGCCCTCAGAGAGACACAGACCCCGGAGGGCAGCGGCACACGAAACAGGCGCAGAGGCACAGGGGCCCCTCCTGGCCTCACCTGTTCCACAGGGACGGAAGCTCTTCCTGCAGGTCCACATTCATCTCCTCAAACACCTTCTGGGCTTTGATGAGCTCCTCCTCAGCCTGGGGGCGGGACAGGTCATTGCCTCTCTGGGCCTTGGTTGGGGCCGGGCCATCCCCAACAATCCCACCCCCAACCTCCTGCCCCGTGAGCAGGATCAGGGCTTTGGAAGGAGGGAGGCTGGACTGGACATGGCCACCCACCCAGGGACCTCCCACTGCAGTCCCTGGAGCCCCTCGGAAAAGGGGCGGGGAGAGCAACCACTGCTAAGGGGGACACCCTTTCCAGCCCAGAGGGACTGCAAGAAAGGGCACAGCAAGAAGGTCTGACACTGGGGGGCTGCAGACCTGAGAGGAGCCCAGAGGCGGGCCCCAGACTCAGCCAAGCGGGGACACTGCCCGTGTCCATGTGACCCCTCCTGAGCCAAGAGCCGGACCCGAGGCTGGGCCCCCTGGTTTGCTCTTCTTGCCGGCCCCTCCCGAGTGTTCCTCCCCTCTCTCTTGGGGCCAGCTCCTTCAGCTTCATCTCCCTGGGACAATCTTTCCCAACAATCTTCTCTCTTCTGCAACCTGTCCCAACTGGAGCCCAGAGGCTGAAGCTCAAGCAATGGTAAAAGAGGGTGGCGGTGGGAGACGGCGCTAGGCTGCTGGGCGGGCCCTGAGCCTGGTCTCCTCCCGGGGCCTTGCCAGCTGCTTCATATCCACCAGGTGGCGCTAAGGTCCCACCACCGCGAGAGAAGGGGCTGCAGGACACTGTGGGTGGTGGATAAGGGGCTCTGACGCTTGTTTCTTGGAGGATGCTGCTGAGAGTGACTCAGGGGTGACTCAGATTCAGGTCTGAGTCACAGCCTAGGAGCGTGGTGGTCCCACCCAGGGGAAAACAGCTCGCCAACGGCCTCACATTCTCAGGCTGTGCCCATGGCCGCCTCCTGGCAAAAGCAGCCAGCTGGCTGAATACGCTTTCCCAAAGCACACGATTTCCCCAGCGTTCTGGAAGGAGACAGCCGCTCCTTCCAGCGTCAGGCAGCAGGACCAGCCCAAGGGAGCGCCTAGCCCACAGCAGGCCCCACACTGGAGCCCTCCTGCGTAAAGAAGAACCAGCCATGCTTTCTGACTGGTCACCTCCAGGCAATCGCCAACACACACACGGCCTCCTGGTCTAACTGAAAAGTCTGGGTAAAAGGATGGGATAAAGGAGGAAATGTTTAAACATACTCGCTTCTCTTGGAATGATCAGATCGGGCACCAGGCCCCTTTCACAGCTCCCGGCTACACTATTAAGAAGAGGGCAGGTCCAGTTTAGACTTCCCAGAATCAGAGCCATTATCTTGCACTCCCTCTGGGTCACGGTCCTCATATTCTGGCCCTCTTACAAGCACTTGAGTGCAAAAAGGGGAGAGAAGAGGTCCACACTGGGCCCCGAGGGCCCCAACTCACAGCCAGCCAGCTGCCCACAGCTAACACGGTCAGGCAGGGGGGACGATAAGAAGGGGATCCAAGTGGGAAAGCCAATTTGGCAGAAGTGCAAACATGCACAGGTGAGTGTCCAGAGAGCTGACCGCATGCTGCCCTCCCAGCTCATCCCCAGCCACCCTAACCCGTGATCTGAACGCACCGGCAGCCCCGTGGCCCCTTGGGGCTTCTCCCACCCCATACCCAGTCCCTCACTCCTCCTCCCCTCCCAAGGCAGATTTAGCAATCCTCAGGCCTCTTACTTCCCCCTAGATGCTCCATGTTCCCCTGGGTCATCTCCATAGGCCCTGGAGAGCCAAGGTCACCCTGACCCCAACTCTGGGTGGGGCTGTCATCTCTCAGTCCCTCCAAAGTCAGCCCCAGCCTTGGCCTGAAAGAAATCAGGCAGCGGTTCACGTAAGAAACTGGGCAATGAGCTCCCTGCATCACTGGCACTCGATACATGGTAGGTGGAAGATGATGAAATCAGGAGGTAGCCCAGGAAAAATGGGGCAGCAGCCCAGAGAGAAACCTGACCTCCTGGGCCAGCCAGTCCTGTCCACTGCAACCCCGCCCGCCCTGTCACAGTATGAAGGGATCCAGGCTCCTCTGGCTGCACCTACGCCCAGGTTTCTCTGGAAACCCACCTCTCCTGGGGCATGGTATCCAGTGGTCCCCAGCCACACGGTGGCCCATCCCCAAATCAGGGAGCTTGGGGACATGTGCACCACCAAGGTGGTGAGGTAACCAAAGTGCTCTGTATGAAGGGCCCCCTCCAGGAAGCCAGGGACTATTCACACTCCATGATTCCTTCAAACAGCCGTCCCTGCAGATCTCACACCACAGCCACATTGAGAGCACTCTGGAGTCATTCGGGGACCCCCGGGCCTACCCGATTGGAGGTTAACAACCCAGGGGTTTGAGTCAGGTGAACCACAGTCGGGTCATTAACCGACTGGGAAACCCTACACGGGGCCCGTGTGTCTCTAGGTGGATTCGTCTCCTCGGCAAATTCAGGATAACCTTGGAGTTCTAGGAACCTGGAAGGGAGAACACACGCCAGGGTACGAGCCCCAGGGTCATCTGCCTCTCAGCGAGCCCTCAGGGGAGAAAATGACCCAGCGGCATTCATCAGCCTCTGTCTGCCTCAGACGCTTGTCCTTGGGTCTAACAGGTATCTGAGGCCCCTTCCTGGCTGTACTTGGCAGCCAGCTCAGAGCTGGGCTGAGAGGCCACCCCTGGCTCTCAGCAGGTGGCTGAGCCCGCCCTTGTTCAGGAAGCCTGGCCTGCTAGGCAGACAGGCATCCAACTAGAGGACAGGACGACAGACCGGAAGGCGGCAGCACGTGCGAGGTTAGAAGCTAGTGTCACCTGATTTCGGAGCAGGTTAGTTTGGGCTACGAGATGAGCCTGCAGTTTGCCTTGGCACCACTGGGGGGCAGCTTTCTCAAGCAGCGAGACAGGCTGAGTGGGGTCAGGTCAAGGCAAAGGAGAAGAGAGACAGGAAGGGGGTGGGGAGAGAGAAACAGACACAGACGTTAAACACCAAGCCCACCAGGAGCAGACCAGCCAGCCCCCCGCCAGGGCCAGCCCCACCGCAAGGAAAGGCCCTGAGGCTGAGAGAATTACAAGGAGCCCCAGGTGCACGGAGGGGTGAATTCCAACTGCGAAGGCAAACAGGAGTCATTAGCAGGGCAGAGGTTGCAGCAAGCAGGGTCCTGCCCCAGGGGCCGGGAGCTGCCCCAGCCCCTCACACGCAGCAGCCAGGCCTGCGTCCGGCCTGTCGGCTTCCAGCCAGGCCAGATCACATCAGGTCCCACGGCAATTCCACTCCGTGCGCCAGGCAGGGTGGCACCATTCCACGGAAATCCAAACCCAATCTTCTCTCCTTCTGGAAAGCAGCACCAGAGTGGGGCAGAGGGGCCCGTCGCAGGGCAGGGAGACACTGGACATGAGCCCCACGGGCATCTACAGGGCCTCCCCTCACCAGCCTCGGGCCTAACACCTCCCCACTCAGGTCACCCCATCCACCTGCTCCCCTGGGTGGCCCCAACCTGTTCCCCAGCCTCTACCTTGGCGATTTTGGCTTCGTCCTTCTTTTTGGCAGTCTGTAGGGACTCGTAGTGGTGCCGGGCGCTGTCATAGTCCACCAGCTTCCGCCCCCGCTTGGCGATGCGCGACTGCAGGGCAGACAGATGGAGGACGAAGGGCTGAGGGCCCTGGGCCATGCCGAGGTGCCCACCCGGGCTGGGCCCAGAGAAAGGGCTGGACGCACACGGAGGGCCCAGAGCAATAGATCCAAAGCTGCTGGGCATGCGCTTGAGCCTTGCAGGGGCAGGGGCTTGCCTCTGGGCAGCTGCCCTCTGGGCCAGCCATCCCCCGTGTAACACCAGCCAGCATTACGCAGGCCAGGCCTCTTCCTCCTCCGGCTCTGGGCTCCATACGTAGCTCCTGGGCTCTGGCTTCTCCTCCCCAGAGCCAGCCCATCACAATCGGGAGTCTGAGCATCTGCTCCCCTCAGCTGCCCTCCCAAGGGTCAAGCCCGGCACAGTGGCTGCCTCTGTGGACAAAGCACCCAGGCCCCACTCACCTGAGGTACACCCTGACACTCTGAGAGCTCCTAGCATGCATACACGCGGCCCAGCAACACACACAGCCACATCCACACAGCCTTTCCAACACACAGCATGAGCAAGGGCGCCACAGGCACATCTCACGCCTTACATAATCAGTCCTACCAGAGCACACGGCCACATACACCTAACACACCCCTGGGCCTCTCCACAGCCCTGGGACCCCAGAGGTCCAGGAAGGAAGCAGAGAACACCAGGCTAGTGCACAGAGGGCAGCTCTAGGGGCGAGGCCAGCACGGGGCGGCCTTCACAAGGCAGTCACCTCCACGCCAGGGCCAGCCCCGAGCCAGCCCCTGGCCGCTGGGCCACAAAGGGCACACCCGCCAAGAGAGCTCGCACCTTGATGTCTGGGAACTGGCCCAGGTAAGTGTCCATAGTCAGCAGCGCCTGGTCCACCAGCTTCTGGTGGTAGTCCACCCAGAGCAGGTCGTTGTTCTGAAACAGGTAAGAGCAACAGAGTGGCCGCCAGGGAGTAAGGCCCAGCTCTCACGCCCCAGAGCCTGTGGGTCAGCCCAGCCCCGTCAGCTCGAAGCTCATGGAGTTCCCAGAGCCTCAGTTTGCCCATCTGTAAAACAGAGGTAACAATTCCTGCCCTGCAGTTTCGCAAGGGATGATGGTGAGGTTCAGACACACTCAGGCCCGAAGGGTTCGCAAGGGAGACTCCGTCAGTCAGTCATCATCTCGATCTCAGTGAGTGCACTATCAGGAGAAGCGCTACCCTCAGAGAGAAGGACACTTGCCCAACGACGCACAGCACATGTGCCGCTTGGCCCAGAGTGTGGGGGCGGGCAAGATCGGAGGCCGGAGGGGCCCTTTGGGAAGGGCCAACACCGCCTGCCCTGCTCGTACCTCAGCGATCTTGCTTGCCTCGTCCCTGCCGGGCCAGTCGGGCTCATACACCTCCTGGAGACACTCGCTCAGCTTCTTGGAGGCCTCGTGCATGGCTGCGGGCGGAGAGGAGGTACACAGCCTCCACTGACGGCCCCGGACCCCATCAGCACCACACTCATGCCCGCCACCCTTCCCGGCTCTGTGCCCACGGCTCACCCGGCCGGCTCTCCTCCAGCCTTACCTTTGACTGAGGCCAGGTAGGTCCGAAGATCCTTCTGCAACCGCGTGCCCTCCGTCTGCCAAGAAAGGCGAGGTCCAGTTCAGGTCCGGGGTTGAATTCGGGTCCCCAACCTCTCTCCCTGCCACTCTCACACGATAAACCAGGCCCTCTGACAGCAGCCACCGCCCAGCTGTCCTCCACCCAACATGGTGGGCCAGCACGGGTGGACTTGGAGGACAGCAGCTGCAGCCTGTCACAGATGCACACCAAACGGCGCTGCATTCCCAAGCCTGTCTCCACTCAGGAGCCCCGGGGCACCTTCCCAGCCCTGGAAGGAAAGCAGGGTGCCTGTGCCCTGGGGTGCCACACGTGACGTGGCCCACAGCTTCAGCAGGGCAGGACAGACCTTCCTCAGGCACGGTGGACAAGTGACATCGTGCATCATCAGGAGCTCAGCACATGCTCAGTGGGGCCCAGACCAGAGTGCTTCTCCAGCATCCCAAGCAAGGAGGGCCCGGTGAGCCCTACAGGGGTGGAGGGGACTAAGGATGGACCTCCAAAGAGAGGCAGCTTCCACAAGGGGCTGGTGTTAGCAGGGGTAAGGAAGGGTCACGCGCTGAGAGGGAGGATGTAGGACACAGGACGCAAGACAGGCTGAAGAGAGGGCCTGGGCAGGGATGACCTCCCGGCCGGGAGAGAACAGCCCTGCAGCCTCTTAGGACAGTGGGACAGCGGAGTGGGTAGAGCCATGGGCTGGACATCAGCACCACAAAGACGGGGGCCAGGAAAGCTGAGCTGAAGCTACAAGACAGGGAGAAGGAGAGGTGTGGGGGCCAGCGGTTGTGAGGCCACCATGAGAAGTGGGGGTTTCCAGAACTCGTGTCAGAGGTGGGGAAGAGCACACAGGCTCGGGGGCTGCAGAGGGCACCTGAACCAGCCTGTCCGAGCCCACCTCCTCCTCTGCCCACTGGGGAAACGACTCTGCCTGGAGCTCCGCAGGTGCTTGGGAGACAGGCCCCCGGAGTCAGGCTTCCGGCAGAAGGGTCATGAGAGGACAGCAGCGGCGACTGAGGCTGCTTTGTGTCCCCCTCGTCAGCTACCACACCAGGGACACGCTCACTCCGGACCCCCCAGCCCCCTGGGAGACGCAGCCCGGTAGCCGGTCATGGTCCTGGGAGATCAGCACCCTACAGGGCTCCAGTCTGAGGCTGCGTCCACAGGTCCATCTCCGGGGAGCACGAGCAGCCACCTTCCGAGGCTCACCACAGCTCCCTCGGACCCCTGCCATCCCTCACACAGGCCCGTCCTCCTCCCTGCGACCTGCTCTTCCCTCGCGGTGTCCACGAGCTCCCTGAACTTTCTTCCCCACACCACCGTCCCTGCCTGATGAGCAAGAAAGCTGAGGGGCGACTCACCGGAGTCACACCGGTGAGGAGACCGGGGGAGAGCATGCAAGGCCAGGCACGCGGCTGACTGTGCTGAGTGGATAACTGGTCATGATGTGGAGAAGCCACAAATCTGTCTACTTATGACAGTGGATGCTTTCACTGTGCAGGGAGGACGTGGTAGGAAGGGCTCAGAAGGACACATGTTGTATGTGGTACCACTGAGAAACACACTGAGTGCTTCAGCCAAAAATAAGTTATTACAGTGAAAGGCACATTAACATGAGTAAGCCTCACAATGCCGGCCCTCTCTTCACTCTTATCCCGGATCTTGCCGCTTTCTGAAGCAGTTCTGGAAGGTCTCTTTCATGAGTTATCCAGAGTTGCAGCGTCACAGTGGCACCGATGTCATGAATCGATTCAAAGCATTTACCTTTCCTGATCAGTTTGACTGGGGACGATCCCGAAGTCACAAGGTACCAGATCCGGTGAGTGAGGTGCATGCGCACACACCGTCATGGTGTACAAGCCTGCCTTTCTGTTGGATGGCACTCAACGCCGGCATTTGCTGTATGTTTTTTAAATCATACTTCATAACAACACCGAAGAAAGGGGACTTTCAGAGCCGCTGCGGGGAGGTGCACGAGTGAGAAGAGTGCGCTCCAGGCCAACAGCGGTGCTCTGAGGGAGACCAACGGCAGTGCGCCTTTCACAGTAATAACTGTTTTCAGCTTAACACATTCACCACGTGCAGTATTTCAATCACTGCCTCACATAATAAAACAAAGAGTGCGTGCGGAGAGGAACAAAAGCCCTCTCTGAAATTCCTTCAGTTCCCAAGAGAATACAGGGGGCTCTGGGAATGCTTGAGGACTGGTCCTTGCAGAGTCCAAAATGCACAGATACACTCCCCGCACAGGGCCTACATCTACCCTCTCGCGTAAATCACCAGTTATTCGTAATACCTAACAGGATGTAAGCGACACATGCATCGTGGTTCTCCTGTACTGTTTTTCAACTGTATTGGTTTGTATTATTTTTTTATTGTCATTTTCCAGATATTGTCACTGTGTGCTTGGCTGAATCTGAGGGTCTGGAATGTGCACAGGCCAACCACACAACACATCACTCCGGCCAAACGGAAGCCTACGAATAAACAGGCAAGTGTGCAAGCCCGCATCTGAAGCTCCCTGGTTAAAGATTAAAAGAAGGGCCAGGGATTTAGCTCAGTGGTGCCGCACCTGCCTGGCAAGTGCAAGGTCAAGTTCAATCCCTGGTACCCAAAAAAGAAACAACAAAAAAAGACACCAAAGGTCAGTCACCAAGCTCTCAAGACTCCTCTGAAATTCTGAGGGGGTAGGACTGGAAGGGTCCATCCACTCCTGACACTGTCTCCCTGATCCAACAATTAAATGCTTTGTCAGCTGAGATGAGGGTTAAAGCACATCCATGATGCAGTTCTACTGCATCAGCCGATGTCACAGGACCTACCAGACCCAGCCCTCCCTTCCCAAGCCTCCCTCCACTGGGCCACACGTCTACTCCCCTCTCCACCAGCCCCTAGCGCCCGCCTCTATAAGGGACTTGAGCAAGGAGTGCCCCGTGGGCTGGCCCACAAGGCCTCGTGTTTCCCAAACAACTCCAGCTGTGAGTGGCTACACCGTGTGCAGATGTGCAAGGGGCTGCCTCCCCGTACTCCCTGCAGCTGGTCCCTGCCTCAACCCCCAGCAGCAGCAGCAGCAGCAGCCCTCCTCACAGCAGCCCAACCCGAAGTCGACTGGCTGCCATGAGCCTGAGGGGATTCACCCAAGACTTTAATGAGATTTCACAAGTGCCCACTCCCTACTACTTCTGGCCCTGGAACAGCCAGCCCCCCACCGAACCTGAGGCGCACAGAGCCCCAACTCAGGTGACACTCCTAGCCCACAGTCAGGCCCTGGCTTCTCTGCCCAGCCCCTCTGCCTAAGAATTAGTAAGAGACTGCCTGGCCAGGGCCAGGGCCCCAGAAGGGTAATCCTAACGGACAAGCGGGGAGAACAACACTGTGGCTGCAGCTAAGACCAGGCCACAGGGAACCTCAGCACTTGTGTCTGTGCTTGCTTCATCCTCCACCAGACCACCAACCCTACCCGACTCCTACCCCACCACCTACCCTCTACCCCTACTCTGGGGCTGCAGCTTTTCATCTGCCCTGCCCACTGCCCTCAGCACTGTGGCTCAGCTCCAGAAAAGAAACTTGAGAGTAAATTAAAGGACCTGGGGTCTGAATTTGAGGCCCTAAGCCCCTAAACCAGCTATGTGGCCTTGAGAAGTTGCCTAAACTCTCTGAGCCTCCAGTGCCTCATCACAAGGATATGTCTGCAAAATACATACAAGTACCTGACCTATAGTAAGTACCCAAGTAACAGTGGTCTCTAGAAGGACTTCAGAGCTGCCTATAACCTGAGGAAGCCAGTGCCTGGGAACACACCCAGGGCTTCCAAGAGACAGAATCAGAAGCTGAGGGTGCAAATTTCCTGTTCAAGCCTACATTTTTATAGATGAAGAAACTAAGGCAGTAAATTTCCCATTATGGGCCTACCTGGACCTTGAAAAACCTCCCATCACTGGCTGGAGGGACAAGCAGCTGTGAGAGCTCCCACCTCGGAGAGCCTCGTGGGCTGAACTTCTCTGGCAGGCCAGTGTAGCTTCGCCCTCCAGCCTTTCCCATATGCTCTCAGCCTTCTCTCAGAATGCTCCTGACCATCTCCCAGAATAGCGCCAACACTTTCCCAGCATGCTCCCTGTCTCTCTCCCAGCGTGCTCCCTGACCCCCTCCCATCGTGCTCCCTGACCCCCTCCCAGCGTGCTCCCTGACCCCCTCCCATCGTGCTCCCTGACCCCCTCCCAGCGTGCTCCCTGACCCTCTCTCATCATGCTCCCAGCCTTCTCCCAACTGCTCTCCTGTCCCTCCCAGTTGGTCACTGGCACTCCCAACTGCTCCCAGCCCTAGCCAATGAGTGTCTGAGCTCTACAAAGGATACCCCTAGGTTACACTCCAGCTACAGAGGTTTTTGGTAGGCATCTTCAGTGCTTTCCAAGGCTTCAGACACAGACAGAGAGTACTGAGAGGCCTGGATCCCCATGCTGGCCCATTACGGGGCCCATCATTCCCCATTTCTAGCAGAGCTTAGCCTTTGACCTTCCCGTGCCCAGTCTCATTCCTGTGGCTTCCCTCTCTGGCCACCACACCCATCTGTCACTCACTTACGGCTGACTGGCAATGCCATGGAACCACGACCCAGCATCCCTCCTTTCCTGCTCCCCTACCCTCCCCAGGGAGAGAGACAACAGAGTCATCTCAGTCCCCCTACCATCTGCAGATACAGCCACAGAAATGGCTTGCTCTGGCCTCTCTGGAGGAAAGTTTCCGGGGCAGGCGAGTAAGGGTAATCAAGGTTTTCCCACCAGTAGGTAAGTTCTTCCTTGCACCTAACCACTTCCCCCAGGCAGCCAGTGTAATTAGGCCCCTTCCTGTCCCTAACCCCTAGCCTAGAAAAGGTTTTGGTAAGGATGCTTTAGGGGTCCCCTCCTGGCTTTGGAGCTAGACCAGTATAAATCTAAATCCACTTCCAAAGCTGGATAAACTTGGGTGAATCACCTCACTTCTCTGAGCCCCAGCTGCTTCATCTACAAACGGGGAACAATGGTTCTGGGTTGTTTAGAGGTATTCACAGCCAACTACAAAGGCTCAGCCTAGAGCCTGCCACATAGGCAGGTACCAGTCATGCTCCAAGATGTCCGAAGCAAATCCAGCCTGCTGTGCCCCACACTGAGCCCCGCAGAGGCCACGCTGCTAACAAGAAACCCACAGCCCCCACTCGCCTTGGCGTGAAGCCCTTTCAGAGTCTGACCACATCTGCTGCCTTCTCCCACCAGCCCCTCCCACGCCCCAACACTCTTTCTGGGTCTTACCAAGAGTGCCGGGCCCTCTTCCTTCCTGCTCAGGGCCAGTCTTCCGTGACCTCACCAGCTCACCCTCCGAGCTTGCCTACTCCACAACTCACCTCTTGCCATTTTCCTCCTTTCCCACGAGCACCCCAAGGCCAAGGGCCACCGCACTCACCAGCTGCTTGTTGAAATTCTGGACACACTGCTCGAATTGCTCGTCTTTTGTCTCATCCGCCTTCCCCAGTTTCTGGAGGACCTGCCGAGGCGCAGAGAAAATGGAACGGTGTTACCCTGAGAAGCAGAGTGGCCGAAGCAAGTGTTCCTGATCACCGAGGCCACAGTCTGGGCTCTGGGACCACCAGGTCTCCTGCCGCTGCAGCCCCCAAAGCCACAGTGTTGAGAGGTGGGGCCCCATGGAAAGTGACCAGATCATGAGGGCAGAGCCCTATGGACTGTAGTTATCTTCAGCGTGGTTTTTTGTCCCTGAATATCCACAGGAGAAGATGAGTTCCAGGACCCCACCTAATCCTAAAACCCACAGGTGCTGAAGCCCCTTCTATATAATGGTGCAGTACAGAACCAAGGCACCTCCTCTCACAGACTTCAAATCTCTAGGCTCCTCGGAGCACACGGTACAGTGGAAATGCCAGGTACACAGCTGTACTGTATGTTGTTTGGAGAATAATGACAAGAAAAAGGCCCACACATTTAGTGCCGACACAAGCACTACAGGTTTAACTACGTAGCACAAGATCGAGACACAAGACGTGAGCAGAACAGCACTCAAAGCAGTGCTGGACAGAAACGGAGCTCCAAAGCATGGAGGCGATGGCCAGGTGTGTCTGCACCTGCCAGCACTGGGTGGATTTGGTGTAATACTCATGCACAGCAAAGTCAAGGTTTCCTTTTAACTTTTTGAAGTCAGTTTTCCCCCAAATCCTTCCAAGGCTGGCTGGATCCATGGATGTAGAACCCGCACACCAAGGTCTGGCTCTCTCGGATTCTGTCCACTGCACTCTCCCCACGTGCTGCCTTCTGCCACCTATGGCTCTTAAGAAGGCCGTACCAGGTATGGCCCTTGTCCTGGGACTTCCCAGCATCCAGAACCGTGGGAAATAAGTTTCTTTTCTTTATAAACTTCCCCAAATGGAGTATTAATTTTTTTTAGTTTATATTTTTTCCATTGCATATACATACCATCTTTTCTTTATCAACTCGTCTATTGATGGACCCTTAGGCTGATTCTATTACCTGGCTATTGAGAATAATGCCTGATAAACGCAGGTATGCAGGTATCTCCGCTGTATGCTACACCCGACTCTTTCAGGCACATACCAAAGAGTGGCACAGCAAGATGACACGGTTATTTACTTTCAGTTCCTCGAGGAACCTCCACACTGATTTCCCACTGGTTACACCTTCCTAACAGTGGCGTGGAGGAGTTCCTTTTCTCCACATGCTCATCAATCTGCATTTGCTATTTCTTGATCACAGCCTTCCAGCCGGGGCCAGATGCAAGCAACAAAGTTTCAATTTTCATTTCCCTACTGGCTAAAGATTTGGAGCTTTTTCCACATCTTTATTAGCCATTTGTACTTCTGCGATAGCAGCACAAAACAGAGAAGACAGCAGGACAAGGCCTCAGGGTGAGGCCTCTCCACTCGAGGCTCAGCCACTGCCCATGAGCAGGGCCCCAGGACTGGCCATAGCAATGAAACGAGGCGGAGCTTCCGACAGCATGAGGGACCAGGTGCCCCCGGGTACTGCGCTGAGAGAAGCCCAGTCATCACAGACCCAAGGGGGTCGAGAGTGACAGGTGGCAGATCTGGCCAGGGTCACTTGAAGCTGGCCCCAACGTGACGGGTCTGTCAGATGTGTGCTGCTCCAGTCCCCAGCTCCCTCCTCACTGCCTCACCCTTACCATCACGCACACTCACACATACACACATGTACTCATAGACACACACACTTGTGACCCCTAACTGGAAACCTCAGAGGGAAACCCAAGGCCAGAAGAGGGAAAGACACAAAAAGAACTGGACCAAGGGGCTCAGAGGGCCTGGCCAACAGGTCCTCCTGACCTTCCTCCCTGGCCCTGCGCCTTCCAACCCCAGAGCTCTGTGAGGGAGACAGCAGTGGGTAAATGGCAAAGAGAGACGGATCCCTGCAGGCCAGCGGGCCCTTGGACAAGCCTTCCCTTTGAAGACCCCAAGCTGTGCCACACTGCTGGGGATGCCAACCCTGACCACCCAGTGCCCAGGCCAGAGCCAGGCCCAGATGCTACCCACTGCCTGCTGCCCCTTCCTGCTCTTTTCTGGGCAGGAGCTCTTCCTGGGCCCAGGAGCCATGACGAAGCCAGCTGCCCTGGCCATCTGTCACGAGTGCCTGCCCTGGGCTCAGCCCCATCCTGGAGTTGACAGCCTGGGTACGCAGGACCTGTCTCCAAGGAGTGATTGGTATGGCTGTTAGAGGGGCACACACCCAGGGCAGAGATGGGGACAAATGCCCACCACCTTGCTCGACGCCAACTTCCTACTGCCACTGTCCACAGCAGGACACCGCCGGGCCCCAGCAGCTGGGGAGGGGCCACCACCCAAATGTTTCGCCACACCAGTTCTATCCCCAGCCTGGAACCGGGGCACAAGGCTGTTCTCCGCACCCCCACCAGCACCTGCACCAGGAGACGCATGAACACACACGTGTACGGCCTCTCTGCTTGCTGAGAGGGTCCACCGGTCCCACCCACTGTACAAACAGCGAGAAGGTTCCCCTGTGCTGAGCTTGCAGATGCACCTCTGGGGGACTGGGGTGTCCGGGGAACAGCTGAGCTAGGCTGTGAAGGAGTTGCGGGAAGAGGATGGCATAGAAGAAGGCCTGGGTCTGCACTCTGTACCGGGATCCACACGGACGGGAGACCGGAGGAAGCCCGGCCCAGGGACATCACTCACACTCATCACACACTTACCACACAAACAGCAGCCTTTGATCAGGTGACAGAAAGGGCTCCTGGGCCAGCCACACCTGGCAAGAGCACAGGAGGCCCGGGCAGCAGGGCAGGGGTGCCTCTGGGCAGTGGAGGAGGCCTTATCAGGGCCACTGTGTCGCCTCTGTCAGCACTTCCTCGCCTCAGTCCTCAGCCTGAGGCCACAAAAGAGGAGCTGAAGTGCAGACAGGGCTGCCCACGTGGCCCCGGAACCCCCTCACAAACATCTGTGTGGCTGCAGCAGGAAACAGCTCAGGTTCCCCAGAGAGACTGAGAGGCTCACAGTCACAGCACAGTGCCTCTGAGGCCAGGCCCACAGGATTCGGCAAGGGTCCGGAGAGCAACAGGGGAGGGAGGAGGCCTCCGTTCAGTCCTGCGGCCTTGCCACACCCAGGTCATGGACAGAGGCCGGGGCCATTCTGCTTCCACTGATACGGCCGGGAGCAGCATGCCGCGTACACTAGGTGGGTCCATGCAGAGCCACCAAACCCAGAGGAAAGCGACGGCCCTGCCCCTCCAGACACTTCATCATCTGCTGTGTCCCCCACCCTACACTCACTCAGGACGCCCGGCGCGCCCTCTTCACAAGGTACCTGTCCTCCCCTGCACACGACAGCAGCAGGTGGATCCGCACAAACCACGACACACAGTGTGAGGCCAAGAGCAGGTCTGAGCGGCCTCACTAGGCTGAGCCCTGCGAAGCTAAGCCCTCCTGGGGGTGCCCAGCCTTCCTGGGCCCCCATGCTGAATGGCACAGCCCTGGGAAGGGGCAGGGACTTTCCATCATCCTGGGCCAATGAGAAGAGCCAAACCCAGAGGCCAGGAGAGGAGCCCAAGAGACACAGGGTCAGGGCCACTTTCCAGGTTCTCTGCCAGTCAGGGTGTGCCTTGGGTCATCTCCTGCAGGGCCTGCCGCCTGTGCCTCACTCAATGTTCCCGACGCGCGCGCACACTCACCGCCCTGCTGCTGAGACTGCCAGAAAGGCGTGTGGTCTTCACCTTCCTCATCTCCCCCCGGCACCTGTCCAGCTGCAGCCTCAGGGAGACCCCATCAGAGTGAGCCAGGCCCAGGCACAAGGCGTCTCCCCGAACGCCTTCCTCCCGGCAGAGCTTGTGGTTGGGGACCACAGCGACAGGATGCACACCCTTTCGGCTTCACGGCTTCACAAGACTCCCCAGGCAGGCCGGCCGCAGTGAGACACCCACTCTGGGCCCACTTCACAGCGAACACGAGGAGAGGAGCCCAGAATCGGGCCAAAAGCGAGTCTGCCTAAGGGCTCGGGACCCTACCCCACCCCCCGGGGCCTGGGGTTTTTCTCCCCACCTCCTTCACCGCCTGGCCCCGCCCCACTCCCACCCCCATCCTGTCCCACAGGAACCACAGCTGACAGCACAGGGTCCTTTGGCCCCTTGCTCAGGGGACTGCCCAGGAGGCACAGGAGACAGGGGGTGAGCTGCGGGTCTCACGCCCCTAGGCTGTGAGTCTGCAGCTGGAGACCCAGAGACTTCAGAAGGCCATGCGCACCCAGACCAGAGCCTGTGTGGGTGGGCAGAAGTAGGAGCCCAAGCCAGTGGGATGAGTCCTGCCTCTCTTCCGCTCCAGCAGCCGCTCACTGTCAGGGCCAGACAGACTGGGGCCCCAGTGGTGCAAGTGAGCAGGGGACTCCTGCGTCCCCGTGGGAGAGGTGGCCTGTCCTGAGAACAGCCCCACAGGTCCTCACTGTCACGGGGCTCCTCAGCCTCCAAGGCCCTGAGCGTCCGCCTCTCACACAAACTGCTCCGGGCCCCAGGCCTTCCGAAGCCCTCTCCTGGCTGCTGCTGGCTCCTCTCTGCCCTGGGGGAAAGTCGCTCTCTCACCCCTTTGACCCCTGTGCACAGGCGTGGCCTGTGCCTATTGCCAGATAGGGCGTCTGAGTGACCTGCAGGAATCCAGGCGCCAGCATACCCAGGAGGAGGGCAAAGAAGCTGAAGAGTTACAAAGCCACCATCGTCCCCTCCCAACTTCTTATTTGGAAAATACACACTTCACAAAAAGTTGAAAAGAACAGTACAATAACCCTCCATGCACCTTTCTGCTGGACTCTCTAACCAACACCCACCACTTGGCCACACCTGCTTTCACCTCTCTCCGTACAGAGTTGGGTCCATTTGTTGTGCATCTGCCAGAGAGTAAGCTGCAGGGCTGACCTCCACCCCAAACACTCAGACCCTAAATCCTTTAGCATAGTTCCTGAGAAGAGCATTCTGCTCAATACCACTGACATCACAAACATGACCAACACATTTAATATACATTTTGTATTTTCTAATACAGTCTATATTCAAATAGCCCTAGTTTATCCCCCAAAATGTCCCTTGTGTTTGGATAGTTTGTTTTTCTACATGGAACCTAAGTAAGGTTCACGTGTTGCTTTTGATTGTCACTTTTCTTGGCTCTAATCCAGATATTCACACACACACACACACACACACACACACACACACACACACACCTGTTATTTATTTTCTGAACTTATTACACTGACATCTTCGAAAATAGTACGAACCAGTCACTTGGAAAATGCCCCTTCCTCAGAATCCATCTGATTATTTCCCCCAGATAAGCTGTGGTTAAGCACCATTTTGGCAAGGGCATTTCGGTGCTGACACCGAGTTTTTCCCGTATGCTTGCCCGCTCGGTCTAAGCCTTGTTTGTCAGACCTCCTGGAGACAAAGGTAACTTTCCTCTGGGTAACTGGTTACCTGCAGGATGATCAGTGCCACTGTGGGGTGCCCAACACCAACTTTGTGCCCAGGGCCTTTAGCACTCACCTCTGCTACTCAGAGTGGGGCCCAAACCAGCTTGGTCACAGTCTGCTGAGAGCCTGGTAAGATAAGGAAGTCTCCACCCCAGACCCGCCAGATCTGCTTCCTCTTTAACAAGCCTGGTATACGTGTATACATGCTGAAGTCTGAGGGACACCGTCACCTCTGCCAGCCCCGCTGCGGCCTGGCCTCCCCAGCCCCAACATTCCATAAAGAAGAGTTTCTTCATCTCGTCTTTGCAGATAGGGTAGTAAGGTAGTGGATTGACTAATGGGCAACTTGTAATGCTCAGGTGAACTGAATCAGCATGGTCTGGGCGTGGAGGATCCCCCTGAAGATTGTTACCAAGAGCCACAAAAAGAAAACAGGAGGGGAAGATCTTAGCCTGTCTGTTTTCTAGGAAAATCTTGCTCTGGATGGTTTTCCTGATGCAAACTAGGCTGCTCTTGGAGGAGGAGGAGCTCGGGACCTCGGAAGAGCTCTGACCTTTACCATGAGCGTCACTTCCTGGCTCCGAAGTGGATCCCTCAGCCTGGTGGCACAGGTCCTTCATCACACGAGTATCGATTTTCTGGCTTCCACCCCTGCCCTTGGGCCTTCCAGGTGCGGATCCTCAGCATGGGCGAGCATGAGGCATCACCATACTCTAGGCCACTGGCCGGACTCGAGGAGGACACTGCCTGGGACTCTAAGCCTTTAGCTGGACTTGTGTGGGGAACTGCTGGGATCCAGGCCCTCAGTTGAACGTTTTGGGCTTCTACTGTGCGGTTAATCTCTTGCACTCCTTTGTATTTGACTCTGGTTAATCAACATAAAATAACCTAATAAATTATGTGTCCTGTATTTCATGTATCCCCTCGCCCAATCCTGCTGACCACAACACAAGTCTGAACTCGTGCTTTCATTTTCTACTCATTGTGTCATAAATCCACCCCATCATTGCTTTTTTGCGGCTCAAATGTCCCAAATGTGGCTAGTGGGGGCCTTCCCCGATCTTTGTGCACTCACTTCCTTGCCAGTCCCACAAGACGTGTCCGGCTCAGCCTGTGGCCACCCGTCTCAGCCCCAGAATCCGGCAGAGCTGGGCCAGTGATGAGAAAGAAGCCCCAACTCCCTTCAGCGGGGGGTGAACTCCTCACTGTGGGCACGGCGTCTTCTCACCCACGGTGCCTTCAGCTGCCCTCACTTTGGCAACAGGAAAGAAAGGCAAAGACACTGAAGGATCTGGCCTCCTTGCTGAGCACAGCAGAGCCCCACCCAGATCTGTCAGCCATGGGAGGGGAGCAGACCACGGGCCCCAGCACCCACACCTGTGCCCATCACCATCCCTGCACCAAGGCCACAGGCTGCAACTACACGTGGCGGGCTCCAGGGGAGGACGGGCCCCTCCAGCAGGAGGCTTCAGCTCAGCCAGACACCTCCTGGGCTTTGCCACCATCTGCACCTCTTCCAGCCAGAGCCTCCGTCCTTCCCTCTGCTTGCAGTAACAAGTGGGCATGCGGCAGCCCCACTGTGTGAAGGAGGGGACAGGGCTGGGACCAGGCCTTCTTCAGGCAGCTTCCATTCTGCATCCAGCCCAGGCCGGCTCTGCCTCTCTCCCCCAGGGCAAGCGAACGCACACAGAAAGGGTCAGCGGCTCTGCCCTTCAGCCAGGGGCTGGGTGGCTCTCCGGGTGGTGGTCTAAGCCTAGAAGGCAGAGCCAGGGCTGCCACTGTGCCGTGGGGAGAAAGGGAGGGTGAACAAGGGCAGACAGCGAGAGGGCCAGCTCCCTGGTCACGGCGGGAGAGGTGGCCCAAGTTCCTGCCCAGAAGCAGAGCCCACGGTGCTGGGAGTCAGTCCCAGGAAGCAAGACTGGCACACACACAGAGAAGAGACACAGCCAATAAAACCCCTCAGCTTTCATGTGGTGCGGGGCTGGCCACCCATCGGGCCTGGCTTCCGCCTTCCAGAGGCACTGGGACTTTTTAAGGAAGCCCTTGGCAAGAGCCAGGAACAGTGTTCCATCCCCCGGAGGCAAGGACACTCCACAGCCCTCTGGACCACTGGGCTGTGCACACCAGGCACAAGCCAAGCCCCGGATGTGAGGTGACACACACACACCCTCCACAGCAGGGGCCCTAGGGATTCTCTAGTCTCTCTGCACACAGCAGGACACAGCAGGATGGTGGCAGGAACCAAGAAGAAACCGTAGAGGCAGCCAAGAGGCGAAAGGGAAAGAGCGGACCGGGACCAACCATGAGGAAACAGAGCAAGACAGAACCACAGGAAGGGAGAGCAACAGGGAGCCGGGGCAGGGTGGGGGTCAGAACCTTGGGGGATCCTCCCTTACCCAACTCACACCGGGGGCCACCCCAAGAGAAGCACCCAGAGCCTGCCTCAGTCCCCTCCACCGGCTGGCTGGCTCTGGGATCCCAGCCTCAGGCCCTGTTTCCCCAGGCTGGCTGGGAGGTGGCTGCAGGACACCCCGGTCTGGGGACAAGCCATCATCCAAATGCCTTCCCCCCGGCAGGGCTGTGAGCCCAGATCACACTCTAGAGGGGCCGTCAGGGTCCACCTCCCAGCCACACCAGCCCAGGGCATGGATCCCAACTGAGGACCCCGCCTCCCTACGAGCTCCACAGGACCCACCTCAAGGGGAGTCCCCCGCCCTTGACAGCCTTCCAGCCGGGCTCAGCTCCGAGTCACCCTGAGGTGGTCACTGTTGGCTCCTTCTACAGATAAAGAAACAGCCCCAGGGACTGCACTCAGCAAACAAGCACCAGAACCAAGTCCCCAAACCTGTTCCATTCCAAAGCCCAGACTCCACTTTGACTCTCAAGCTGCACGCACAGACACCAGGGAATAGCAGACAGGGCACGTGGGGTCTACTGCCCAAGATTCACACTCGTCTTGCTGCATTCCAAGCATTTAACTGGAAAAGAGACACTTCGGTGACATAACCAACATAGGCAGATTATGGATGAGGATGCACAATTCCCAAGGATGTTTGCAATGAAATACAACACCAGAAAAACAAATCCAGGCCAACTGAGCTGGGTGGCCCCTCCTGGGGAACCCTCCCGGCCACCCGCCACCCCACCACACGTGGAAGAGTCCTCAGGCACCAGCACCACAGGCTGTCACACTTTCCTGTGCTTCCCTGTCAGCAGGCTGCCTGAGGAAGCCGGTGGCCTCTGCCTCCTGACCATCTCCCTCAGGGGTCATTTCCCCTTTGCTGGATGAAAGGCGAGTGACAGTGAAAAGCAACACTGGGCTTTTTTTGACGTCCTCAGCTGACGGAATAAACCTGTGTCAGCCCCACAGCTGGAAACTCAAGGGGTGCTCAGAAAGCAAAGCACG